TACCTCATGGTAAGTGGTTGCTGTGGCCCATCTACATCTATCCTCGATTACGATGCTTCGTAATGATGGATGGATGGATGAGATGTATATAATAATGCAGATGCATTATCAGCCGTGAGAACTAAGATGGAATGCCTCGTGTCCAGTAAAAAGGATCTTCGGTTCTTTACACTCACCATACGAAACACTATTTTGGTATTCTGTGAGAGCGCGGTCCTACCCCGGTCAAGCCGACCCATTCGTGCTAAAACTATACCAGATATATAGTTGCAGCGTGGCTCTATCACGTATAAAAAGGTGTTGGAGGGTCACGCTAATCTCACTCAGATTAACGTCTATCTAGGCTATCAACGGAATGGTGTCCTACGAGACTCGACTTCAGTCGTAACTCACGTGTAGCTCCGAATCGATGTGTAGCTGTCTGTCTCAATATCATACAAAATCTCAGGTCTCTCGAAAATGAGGTTCAACCCAAACCGAATGACCGATATTTCTTCTTATTTATATTGAGCCGATTAATTCTGTGGACAAATTTTATATACCTAAATGCTACTTATCTATACTATTTGTTTTATATTTTTTTTTATTATACAATGAGCCTACTGATTAGTTCCTATTCCCTTAATTTCCCAATGCTTATATTGATGAATAATTTAATATGTAGATGAATAATATAATATTTAATGGAAGCTGTTTTACGTGATTTAGAGGTTTCTTTGAGCATTTAAAACAGTTTGATAACGGCAAGTAGTATTTATCTTTAGAATATGGCTTATAGAAGTAGAGGAGTAATCCCAATTATGCATATGACATATTTATGAAAATCTTTCTACTCCTTTATGGTCAATGTATTCCTACTAATTAGATTAAAATAAAGGCATTAAACTCTGCAGTAGGTAACAAAGAAAACAAAAAAAAAACATTCAAGACCTAGTTACTCACAAAGTTTCAAAAAAGTCATCAGATTTACTCAAAGGTTACAAAATAATAACTTTAAGCCCAAAATAAACCTAAGGCTGCGTAGCAAATAATCAATAATAATAAAAATAAAAGAGAACCTATTTCAAAAATTATCAACCATAATGTGATAATTGAGAATCCTAAAGAAACAGCAACATTATTTAACGATTGTTTATTGACCAAGTAAATATAAAACTAATAAAAGATATGATAGGATTATTGACTTAAACAACAACTCAAATTCAATATTTATAACTCCGATCATTCCAGACATAGTTAGAGTAATCAAAACCCTTAAAAATCAAAAATTTCAAATTGGTTGTTATACATTGTTTGTTATAGTCATGGCTACAATAACAAACAATGTATAACAACCAATGTCGTCAAATTTGTCAGCGATGTTATAGCTGAGCCTTTAAGTTACATTGTAAATATTATTATTGCTTCTGGTATATTTCCTAATAGCCTGAAAACTATAGTAATAAAAGCGCTTCATAAAAAGAATTACAAAGAAGATATGTCCAACTATAGGCCAGTAGCATTGATTCCAATTTTTTCTAAGATATTTGAAAAGATTATATACGAATCAATAGATAAATATCTGATTAAATATTAGGTACTTACATATGAAATTAGTGTTTTGTCGTACTGACCACTTTGATCTGAAATAGGAGATATTTCAGATCAAAGTGGTCAGTCTTTGGTTAAGAATTCCAAATTCAAATTTATAAATTCATTTAGCTGGTACATTTGAGTTTTGAAAACAGTCATTCATTAGTTTTTTCTTCATAATTTTTTTCTTTGGCGTCTCTTATTGCCGCACAATGGAAACATGAAATATCGGTATATTTACGAGTACGAGTTCTACCGTGACACCAGTGCTGCAGAAACAGCTCGAAGCATTAATGATGTGTACGGCGCTGGTGTCGCAAAAGAAAGCACGGTACGTTTTTGGTTTTAACGTTTTTGTTCTGGAAATTTTTACCTTCAGAACCAACCCCGTGGTCGGCGGGAGAACAAAGTGGAAAATGAAGGATTAAAGGCTATTGTGGAAGCGGATCCATCACAAAGCACTTTAGAGATAGCTGCAGGCTTCGGGGTAAATGATAAAACTGTATTAATCCACTTGAAACAAATCAGGAAAGTAAAAAAACTTGGACGATGGGTACCTCATGAATTGAGTGAATCGAACTTGCAAACACGCGTCGACTGCTGTGTTACTTTGCTCAACCGACACAATAATGAATCATTACCTGTGATGAAAAGTGGATACTGTACGATAATCGGAACCACTCGTCGCAATGGCTGAACCCTGGAGACCCAGCCAAATCCTGTCCTAAACGAAAATTTACTCAGAAAAGTTACTTGTGAGTGTTTGGTGGACTAGTGCAGGTGTCGTTCACTACAGCTGTCTAAAATCTGGCCTAATGATTACGGCAGATATCTGCAAACCATGAAGGAAGAACTAGCTACTAAACAACCGAGATTGGTCAATCGCTTTAGGCCACTGTTGCTTCACGACAACGCAAGACGACACACTGCACAACAAACAACCACTAAGTTAGATGAGCTACAATTGGAGTGTCTGCGACATCCACCGTACTCCCCGGACCTTGCTCCAACAGATTACCATTTTTCCGGAATTCGGACAAGTTGTTACAAGGAAAAAAATTCAACTCCGATGCGGCGGTCCAAACCGCCTTCAAAGAGTTTATTGATTCTCGCCCCCATGGTTTTTTTTAGTAAAGAGAACTACCTATGAGATGACAAAAAAGCGTAGATAATAACAGTGCATACTTTGATTAATTAAATGTATTTTACAAAAAAAAAATGACTTTATATTCCTCCCGTACAAAACGCCAATTTCATATGTAAGGACCTAATATAATATACTGAGCAATGAACAAATGGGATTTAGGAAAAATAAAAATATTAATATGGCAATATACAATCTTTTAACTAATATTATGAAGAGTGTTGACAAGAAAGCGTCTGTTTGTGCTATATTGATATATAGCAGATGACGGATATGACTAAGGCATTCGACTACGTAAGTCATAAGGCATAAAGGGAAATGTCTTGGAGCTTATAACCTCTTACCTGAGTGGCCAAAAGCAGTACACAGAAATTTATAGAATGTCTTCTAAGACCAAACGCAAGATTAAATATACATCAGACAGTAGAGAAGTCAAATGTTGTTACCACAGGGTAGTGTTCTGGGGCCACCATTGTTTCTCCTATATATTAATGATTTACCACGACATACACAACATCCTATGGCATAACCGATTATGAAGAAGAGATTAATAGAACATTAAAAAGTGTTATTAAATGGCTTGACATTAATAATCTAAGTAATAATTTGAATAATGTTGTCTTTTATTCCTAAATGGAAAGGTTTAATTTTTTAATAAACTCATGATATAAATATATATATATATATATATATATATATATATATATATATATATATATATATAATAGAAAAATATTAATTATTTCTTTTAAGCCGATACAAATTCCAAATATTAAATGACCTACCCCTTGCTATTGTTGACAACATCCATTTATCCTTTACAGCCTATTAAAACTCCACTGCTGAATGATTTCTTATGTTGACGCCGGAGCTACATATTGAATAAAACTTCTTTTACTGTTTTCCGTGACCATGGGTGCTCGAAAGCACTCGAAACATTAAGAATTAAAAATAAGTAGAATTAAACGCGATAAAATCAGTAAAAGCCTTCCATATATTACCTCATACTCTGCCGTAGTTGCCACGTTTGAAGTGAAAACTTCTTTGGCATTTGAAACTCAATAAAACGAAAAAGCGACTCTAAAAAAAGACAAATATGTAGGTGCGTCTATAAAATAGCGGTTGGATCGAGAGTGAGTGACAGGTTGCGTGACTCTAGTGAAGCGTCAGTGATTAACTGCGTAAGTAAGAGAGCAAGTTGAACATTTGAACAGTTGAACATCAAGCTCTCACACCTTTACTATTTTTAACAACTAACCTTTCCTGATGTATTCCTGCTAGTTCCGACAAATATATAAATCTATAGGATAGCCATACGACAGAATGAGATAGAATGTATTTACTAATATAATAAAGCGGATGAGGTTTTTTTGTTTGTTTAAACATGCTAATCTCCGAAACTACCATTCCGATTTGATAAATTCACAAGGAATAGTATAGGCTATCTAGCATTAGGTTACACCTCTCAGCTAGCCTTAAATATCGATTTTGTTAAGCAAATCGAAAGAAAAAGCGCTTTTTCCGCGTGCGCTGGCGTAAGGGTTAGTGGATCGTAACTACTATGTTCAATCAAAATATAGATCTTTCCTCATCTAAAAAAAGTCCACGATACCATAGGCCTATTTCTTATAAGTCACAATAAGGTATTTTGTTACAAAAAAAGTGATTTATGAGCGTTATTTGCTACCGTGTTACTTATCGATAGTTTGGATAATTATCGCATGATAAATATATCGTCATGTTTTGCATTATGTAAAAGGATGAGCGCCAGAATTTTATTACTAGACGTTTTGACGACGAAAGAAACAACAGCGTTACAGCGCATGCAATGCTTTCGTAGTTGCTTTTCTTGCTTAATTATTTTGCCTGTTAAATTACATTGTCTATTACATTATTAAATAAATATATAATTTTAAAATATTATATCGAAATTGATGCGAATTCGATACTCTAAACTAAATATTGCATGTCGATATATCGCGATTAAAAATATCCACCTATAAATATAGTGAGTAAATATCGATATTTCGATATTTTTTACCCAAGCCTATGCATAGCCATAGGCCGCCATAGACATATATTTTTGACATTTTGCTGTTGTAAATAAATTTTATTTGTTCTGTCTACGGTACGGTGGTCTACGGATACGGAGATTCTATAGAAATATAGCAATTTGATTCTGATGTACTAAATAATGTTTGATAACTAGCTAAACAATCGCGCCAGTGTTTTTACCGCATCATAAAATTTTACCTCTTAAACGAATACCTTATGATTGTTAATAATGGTTCAGTCGCAGTTTGCATTATCGTGGGATTCCTTTAAAACTAATTTATGCAGTGGTTTTAGTACTCTTCAACAGGTATAATTTATTATAATTTTGAAATAACATGCAATTTATTTGTAAATCAAGTTAAGTCACAGCCTCATACACTTAAGGTAACACCTAAGGCACAGGGTTTTTAGACGGATGAAATCGTCGCACTGCCTCTTTGTGTGTTGATGGACTTCACATGTCTCCGAAATACTTTTATTTCTAAACATTCAGGTTTCCTATCGATGCTTCCTTCACCGTCAAGCACGTGCTAAAGCAGCACTTAAATTTCAATTAACAGTTTCATTAATGGTGCTGGAAATTGAACTCTGTTTACTTGCATACTATGATATTTTAAGGTGAGACTAAATGTTAAGAGATAAGTCCCTTGGACTAACATTGCTTTTGTCACAAATTAATTTATTATATCCTTAGCTATTGTGAACTACAATCAAGAGGGCTCCTAATTAGCTCTTTTACTAGAGCTATGAGGGGATCACATACTGGCTTGAATTTTTGTATACAATTTTTATTAATTTTTCAATCATAATAGCCTTTGAAAAGTCCACTGCTGGGCCTTGAGTATTATTATCAGAAAGATGCTGCTGCTGCTTGCTCAGTTTCCATAACATCTTGATTAAGATTATTTTGTTGATCCAAATGCTAAGGAATGGGATTAAAAATATTAAATTTTTTATTTTAGCAAAAAATATTGTTTATAATTATTAATTTATATATGTTCTCTGTTTCAGAATGGAGAATTTGTTGATATGACTTTAGCTGCTGATGGGCATTTTGTAAAAGTTCATCAAGTTCTGATGGCTCTTGCTAGTCCCTATCTGAAGGAGTTATTGGCATCTGCTCCGTGTCAACATCCAGTTATATTTCTTAATGTATATATCATTCAATTATTCAGTTTACATTTACATAAATTGAGAAAAAAAAATAGTACAGTGACTACTACCTTCTTCAAAGTGTGTTTATGGCAATAAGTGATTTAATCATTCAGATTACCTGTTGAATGATGAGTTGTATTACATTTATAGAATATATTGTTTCACCTTACTGTTCAAGAGGATTATGTTTTTTAGTTTTCTTATTTATGTAGTGTATGTTGTTCCTTTGTAATCTTCTGTAACCTATAATCAATTAAAGACAAAAATGGCTAACTGATTTGGGCTACATTTTATAGAATCATGCCAATATGCCAAATATTGCAATTTGTAATACTAAAATTTAATAGTGATTCCTTCAATTTGTGTCTTTTTATTAGTTTAAATTTATGTAAAATTTTAAAAAGATTTGTTTGTATATTTTTAATAATTCAATTTTTATAATATGGTATCATGTCAGGAGAGGTCAAATTAAATTAAAAACTTGAGAATTTTATTTCAGAATATTTCTTCGTCAACATTGTCTTTTTTACTGGAATATATATATACAGGAGAAGTACTCATTCCAGCAAAGAATTTAACAGCATTTGTTGATGCAGCTAAAGGACTTCATATAAAGGGACTTGAAACAGTAGTAAGTATTAACTAAAATTTTGAGGTATTCAATTGTAACAAAAAAATTGATAAACAAATTTAAAGTTTTACAGAGTTAATACATGCACTCTTGTGAATATTTTTTTTTTCATTAATATGTTTAAAATTATTTAGTTATATGTACTATTATCACCAATCTTGAATATAATGGACTTCTGCAAAAAAATTAGTGTATTTAGTAACCAGGTGATTACTTAATACATCAATTAACTTTTTTTCGTTTTTAGGTGAGCCAAGACAATATTCCTGTCAGCTCGTTTGGACATACATCAATAAGTGAAGAAAATGAAGGACATTATGGCAATAATTTAAAGAAATTTACAATTTCAAAAACAGATGGCTTAGAACAGGTATTCTCAATGAATAAATCAAGTATGGTTATGCATCGCATAACTATTTAAACGGTAATAGAAAGGACATTAAATTTTAGGGAATTGACCAAGACTAAATACATAGCGGTGGTGCCTTTTTAATGACCACCATATTTTTGTGTGCAAGCTATGCAGGTCTTGCAAATCCAGTATTACTAGGCCTGAAGTGATTTTTCATGATAGAAGGCTATGAGAGCCAATCATTAAGGCTTTTAGAGATTCCACAATATGGCTTTGGGTTAAATTGTGTTCTCCTTTACCCTTCCTGTGTGAGCTTGTTGGCCTGTTCACCCACCCACCATACATGATTGGCGAAACTAGACTTTTTAACTTTATTAATTCATTATCATCATTACAGCCTATTAAAAGTACACTACTGTGAGCATAGGCTTCCTTCATAGATAACCCCATAGGGGTGGTTTGAAATAATACTAGTAGAATGTCAGAATGAGTTTTACCCTAATTTCTTCGTATTTTCTACCCTCGTACATATCAATATTAATTATATATAAATAATTTTTAGGTAGGCTTGCCAGCAAATGCAAGAAAAATTTTAATAAAACATGGATCCACTGGAGACACGTCTTTGAGGTGAGATGGAATTAATATTAAAAGAATATTTTTATTCTAAGTACGTAACTTGAAAAATAATTATCCTCAAATGGGTAAAAATTAATTTAGTCAATAATTAGTGCTGATTTTTATTTCCATGCGTCCTTATCATCAATCCAAACAACCAATCTCTTCCTCTTTTGAAGTTTGTAAGCTATATTTGTCGCATGGCTAGAAGCATAAAATTTAGCATTGGTTATTACGTTGTTTTTTAAAAGCAAAGACAAATTTTGCTTGTGTGCTGCAAGTTGCGGCAACCTCAAGTGATAGGTCGACCACTTCTACTTCCCTTTAATATGTTCAAGGAGTGCAGCGACTGCCACATCCATCATCCTAGTGAAATGATGCCACTTGTGGGGTCTGGTCTGCTCTGAAATGAAATTATTAGAACATTTTATGTTAACTGTCGCATCCAAAGCTGGAAGCTTCAGAAAGCAGATACTAGGGACAAATATCATGCGAAGGTAGCCGAAAAGCTTGACACCATCGATGGCAGAAAAGAATGTGTGGAAAGAACATGGCAGTAACTTAGGGATGGAATGGTAAGTGCAGCGGATTAAGTGTGTGGAACGATAAAAAGAGGTAGTAGTAAAAGAAGAGATGCATGATGGAATGATGAAGTGAAAGAAGCTGTAAAGAAGAAGAAGAAAGCATGGTTAGACTACTATGAGAGAGAAGATGAAAGAAAGATATAAGCTGCAGAAAGTTCACACGAAAGCATTGATTGAGGAAGTGCGTGAAAGGTGTAGAATCGAAGTGGACGAAAGGTTGTCGCACAACTTTAAGGAGAACTCCAAACCCCGACCCGACCCGAAGTGCGCACCACTTAAGAATGAACAAAGAGCTTTCGAGAACCAATGACCTCCTCTCAGAAAAATCGGACGTCAGCAGCGATGGAGCGAATTTTATAGAGAAATGTATGCGTGTGATGATCTTAGTGAGGGATCCGGGGGTGACGCCGTGACTGGTACGCCAGACCCGGCCCTCGATGACACTGAACTCATCAGTATGAAAGAGATTGAACATGCGATTCGAAGTTTTAAATGTGGTAAGGCTGCGGGGCTAGACAGAGTTACTGCTGCTAATGGTCAAGTATGGTGGGCCTCGCATCTGGGACAGCTTTCATCTGCTGTGCAATTTGTGCTGGCGAACGGGGGATGTCCCGGATGATTGGCGATCCGCAGTCATTGTGCCTTTATACAAAGGTAAAGGTTCAAATCGGAAAGATTTCTATGGGAGGCACAATGCGGATTTAGACCTGGAAGAGGATGCACGGATCAAATGTTTTCTCTCCGCATGATCACGGAGAAGCTTCTGGCTGCTAACCAGAAAATTTTCTGTGCTTTTGTGGATCTTGAGAAAGCATTTGATAAGGTTGTAAGGAAGAAAATGTGGGAACTGTTGCCAGGGTATGGTGTGGATGGTCGATTGCTAAGGGCTGTGCAGTCACTTTACTGTAACTGTAAAACCTGTGTGCGGGTAGGGCATGACCTGTCACCTATGTTTAGCGTCCAAACGGGCGTAAAACAGGGTGGTGTCATGTCTTCCTGGCTGTTCATACTGTATCTCGACAGCTGTTTACAGAAGCTGAAAGAACTGTTTGGGTGTGAAATTGGGTGACATTAAAGTAAATTGTCTGCTGTATGCTGATGATGCAGTGCTTATTGCACCATCAGAGGCAGAACTGCAGGCATTAGTCACGTGTATGAAAGAGGAATGTGAAATTAAAGGTCTCCGTTTGAAGGCTAATAAAACTAAGGTTCTGGTATTTGAAAGGGACGAAGAGAGAACGAAGTGTGAAATATGGGTAAATCAGGAATGTCTATAACAGGTAAATGAAATTGTATACTTGGGGAGTGCTTTTAGCCTGGATGGAAGATGTGATTTAGATGTGGACAGGCGTGTCGCTGCCGGGAACAAAGTCAATGGTGCCCTGACTGCGTTAGTCAAAAGGCAAGGCGTAGTGAAGAGTGCACGGCTTGCAATACATAACGCAGTGTTGGTACCGCCTTTGTTATATGGCAGCGAAACCTGGGTATGCCAGAAGAAGCATAAAAGCAAGTTGAATGCAGTGGAGATGCGATCTCTTCGTAAAATGTGTAAAAGATGACCTTATCACAAAAATTGATAAGGGCGTGCTTCGGTGGTTTGGGCACGTTGAACGAATGAGTGAAGACCGAATGGTAAAGAAAATATATAGCGCGAAAGTTAATATTAAAAGGTGTCGAGGTAGACCGAGACTAACTTTCGAAGACCATGTGAGCAAATTGCTCGAAGAGGGGAGGGTCAAAAGTACTCGGATACCTAGACATGCATGTATGAAGAAGATAATGAATCTGAAAGAAGCGAAAGAGGTATGTAAGGATCGTGAAACTTGGCGATCTGTTCTCTCTGGCTACCCCGTCAGGGATTGTGCGTGAAGATAAGAATTTTATGTTAACAGTATTTTAACATATAATTTTTTTTTACAATTTAATTCTTAATTATTTCATACTTTTCTGCCGACTTCCAAAAAGGAGACGGTACTCAATTTGACGCGTATGTTTTTATTTTTATGTGTGTTACCTCATAACTTTTTACTGGGTGGACCGATTTCGATGATTCTTTTTTTATATGAAAGCTGATACTTCTCGTGTGGTCCCATATGAATTTAATCAAGGTCAGACCAATAGTTTTTGAGTTATTTGAGTTATTTTTAATAACTTATATTGAAGTCGGCTACACTAAATTTTTAATTTTAAATTATTAATTTAAAAAAGTATCTTATATACACAGACTATTGCTTCATACTTAAAATACATAAAAGTCCCTATACAACGCTGTGCCATTTTAAACCCTAATACAAAAATGCTAATGCTTATTTTAATAGTCTATGTGTGTATATACATATATATATCTCTACCACATGCCAGAAATTTTATAGATAGACTTATTAGATTCTTAATGCTATGTTGTGGAGACGTAAGATATCTACTACCTCATAATATTATCCCGTGGTTTTCATAAGAGACGGTACAGAGGGAAACTGACACAAGATAAGCAACAGCATCTTCCTTCTCCGTCTGCTTTTAGTTGCTCATATCCAAGAGTGTGATCTCCTTAGCTTTCTCTTCTCCCTAAGGACAGATCTGGTATTGGTATAGATAGCTAAATTAACTGCTTAATATGTGTGTATACATACCTCATGCATAATACACACATAAAAAAGTCAATAATTTATCCATGACAGGAACAATCCGGCAACAATATTACTCCTATGGGAATGCAAAAAGGCTATGCAGGCTGACAACTGATGATGTGGCATCACACTCGAAACTTTGTGGTTTACTACTTTATAGTTCTGTTGTGCATTAGAACGGGGTTAAAGTTGACCCTATTATTTTCTTGTTAATCAATCAATTTAATTTCAATGGTCAATGAATTTTAAAGGTCTACGGAGCAGAGTTTAAATTCTTCATTACCTAAAGACGACTCCCACGGTTTCTCGGACATGGAGGACAATATTGGCAATGACGATGATAATGATTATTCCTTACCAACTAAAACAACCAGAACGATGGACCTAGGAAAAGGTTAATTTGTGTTTAAAACTAAATTTTTTATTAAGTTCTTATGAAAAAGCAACGTCATCACAATAACAGCTTTTTCAAGTCCACTGCTACTTTTTCATATTTTTTTTATAGGACAGGGTGACAAACAAGGACACAGTCCACCTGATGGTAAGTGGTTGCTGTAACCCATAGACATCTACATCTATCCTCAATAAAGAATCAAAATGCAGATGTGTTGTCACCCGTGAGGACTACGATGGAATGCCTTTTTTCCAGTAGTAAAAAGGGTTGAGATTTGCTTTTACTCATTAGTGATGAGTCATATTGATGGGCAGGTGTGTTATTGCCTTTTCCATCACCATATCGGGTTATTTTTTGTCATCAGTCTCGTCCGTCGAATGCTGCAAAGTCTCCACATGCAGGTGAATTGGCATTTGGAGGGAAAAGGTTGTTATAATATATTTTCTTCCAACCACTTTAGGGAAAAAAGGATCATGCTTGCTCAGAATACCAGCATGCAACACCTTACGTGTTAGGCTGCTGTGTTTCGTGTGGTGATTGATGAGAACTAAAGACTATTTACTGGGAACATGGCATTCCATTTTAATACTCAGTGGTGACACACATCTTCATGTTATTTCTCAATGAAGGATAGAAATGCGGATAGATAAGATAGAATTGTAGATAATTGGGTATTGTCGTCATTACTGGCTGAGGCCGCCTTTTGCTTTATGCCTAAGTGTTGACTATGCTCACTGACACAATCTTCTTTTTCAGCGGACTTCTAATCAGCCATTTTAACATCCATAGCATATTCTCAAAAATTTATAATATATTGTCTTTCTCTTTCCTCTAAATCTCCATTGTTTATCAGCAAAATCATAGTAGATTTAAAAACACAAAACCCACATAATAACACCAAAAGCATTGACAAAATCGTATAATAATGAAAATGGCCACAAATTTGTTACATTGAATACAGGGACATATAAGTATGACTTATATTTACCTTTCTTAGCCTCCGATTTTAGGGCGACTGCACACGCATATGCGCGGTCGCCGTCCAACAATTTTTTTAAGATATTGAGAAGAGCTGCATCGTAACGTGCGCCCACAAAATAGTATAGGTCAATGAACATGCCCGATATGTTTTAATTAGGTAGCTTACATTTTGGCCTAACCCCCATGACGCCGGGTTAATCTATTCAACACGTGTAAGGTGAAAATAAAATGCATTTTAAATACTTTTTCAGTGCCAGCGACGGCAAGCTCCAATTTACAATTTACTGTGTCAATACGAGGCTCACTGCAAGTAATTTTGAATCGGTACATGTACAATTTGAACTCGACCCAAAGCTCCGGCATAAAACGTTGGCGCTGTATCGACTATCGTAATAAAAAATGTATGGCTTTTCTCGTAACGAAAGGAAATATTGTATTGAACAGGTGAGATATGAATATGCCTGCGTCCTTAATGCTATAACAATGTTTTCTACTAATCTAACCTCTTACTGTAATAATAATTTAAAAATACTTTTTGGAACTACAGAGCAAATAACTATGATACATGCTAACATTTAAAATAAATAAATTCAGTAAATCGGAGCTACTGATTAATAAGTGATTTTGGATGAAAATTTCATGACTTCAATGCAATGAACGCAAATAAAACATGGAAACATTCCTAGCTCCATAAAACGACCTAATGCAAATTTAGCCGCGGTAAGCTCGGCTTATCAATTGCCCTGCGAGCGAGTTTAGGTCGCCTGCAGCAGTCGTTGTCGGCGGTCGGTTATTGCGTACTAGGTATTAAAAATGTTATGTTGTGCATTAAAATGGTGTACAAAACAATCACTTTTAAATAAAAATAATACTAGAATCAGTTGTCGAATGAGAGTACAACGCTATTTCTCATATTTCGTTAAATATGTCGGTACTTTTTTATAACCAGACCATTTTATAGCTTATCGAAGGACTGCATCTACTTCAACAATTTCATAGCTGATGCCCTTTGAATCAAGATATGCGCGTACTTTGCAACAGAATGGACATGTTTGATATTGGATGTTTTTTTTTTAATTTTTATTCATTATTGATTATTACATAATTCTTATTGAAAGTCATTTTTTATTTACCACTGGTTCGGAAAATACCTCTGTCCTGGGAAGAACCAGCAAGAAACCCAGCGGGACTTTTTTTTTCAAACATATTTCACTTAACAATAATTTCGTTTATACAATTTTTAAATGATTTTTCATAGAACCAGCATGGTGGCGATCACCTTATTCCCAGGGGTTATTTTCATTCATGTATTCCTTGATATTATAATAGCGATGGAAGGTTTTTTACCATATTACTTCTAAATCTCTTAAGGTAATGAAACCAGTTGTCCACAGTGATCTGAACTAAGTTTTTGAATTATTGATTTGTTGATTATAGGTAGTACAACACCTGTAAAAATATTATAAATACAAGTTGCACTACACCCTGCAATACGTGTAGCTTCAAAGAATAAATTATCAAGATTATAGGATTTGAACAAAGAGCAAAATTTAATACTAATAATATATAAAAGCTTTTAGAAAAATTTACTTCGCAAATATCCGCGTTATAACATAAAATGATGTGTCATACCTAGTATGAAGAGCACCTCCCGCCCTCCCTCAAAGCCCTCCCAAAAACCGCTAAGTTAGCCACCGTAGAGTCTATATCACCTGAGGATGCCTCGTGTAGAGGCGAAACACGTGTCGTATTGTCGTCTTTCCTAGTGTAGTGGTGTTGGGAGTAGTGGTGCTGGGATTAGTGGTGACGGGGATAGTGCACGCAATTGAGGGAGGGCGGGAGGTGCTCTTCATACTAGGTAAGACACATCGTTTTATTTTATACGCGGATATTTGTGAAGTAAATTTTTCTAAAAGCTTTTATATAATGGATTTCCGCAAAGTAACGCCTGATTCTATTAATTATACTAATAATATAACTAATTGGAAATTAGTTGTATCAGATTCATTAATTATTTTATAGTGCGCCTGATATTTTGGGGCTTCTTTAAAAAAAAAACCGTATTCCTCAGTTTCGGTGAGCGCTACATTCTTCTTGGAGTTTAATTTATAATGTGTATAACCTCCATAACCAGCCCCAATAAGTAACTAAATAAGTTAACTTTGCTGTAGACCTCGACAGCCGGCTTTTAGTGGTATAAAATATTTTCGAGAAAGAAAAACCACTTTTCTTAAAATTGTGAAAGTCGGGCGCCACATTACGAATTAAATTACAGAATTAAACTGAAATTGAACATTATAATTGTAATTTTGTTAAAATTGTCGTAGTTATTATATAATCCTAGAATTTTCTCAAAAATAACTTTGATATGGCAAAAGCTAAACAATAGTATAATTACTTATGATTTTTCTACTTTTTCTCACCACTATATTATCAATAATAACAATACTGAAAAGATAACTTTATGCTGGTAAGACAAGCCTGTTTCATATGTATATATATTTATTTTCAGGGCGAATCCCCACAGCCACTCCTACCACGATAAAAAGATATTAGCAAAGATCGAGAAAAACGCAGTATTTTCTGCATTAGATGATGCTGAAGGCTATAAAGAAAAGGAAAACAGTAAAACCGACGAAGATGTTGCAATGGAAAGTGAAGAATACAGTTCGTTTGATCTGAAGAGAGATTGAATAAGTTATGATGTTTTAAATAAAAGTTACTCTTTACCGCCTGTACGTGTTTTTCTACGTTTATAATGGTAAAAATTAATTAATTTACGAAATAATACAGAAAAAAGTGAGCAATTGGAACATCGTTAAGCTTAGTTTTTCTTTCCACTATATATATTTTTTATTTTCTTTATTTAAAAAGGCTTATCCTACAAGGATATTTGATATTTATGAAAAATGGCGTTGTAGAATTTGTTTTTCGCGAGCCATAGTTTTGCTCAATAATGTTATAGAGGCAATGGAGAGTTATGATTTTGACCGGTATATATGTATACGTATGTGTCTATTGTATGTATGTATGTTCCTCTGTTCCCTGATTTCCTCATAACTTCATAACTACCTACTAATCCTAATTTGACATCAACAGACCTTGGTCGCCAAGCCTAAACTATTGCACTCTTCAAAACAAATCATATGAGCTCAAACTCGAGGAGTTTATTAGTTGCTACTGATTTTGTTATACAGTTAGTGAGTTAGCAATATAAACCTTAATTTTTACTTAAATGATAATAATAATAATTAAAGATTAAATTATGTTACCTTACCTTTTGATTTGTATCCATGATCACACTCAAAAACACATAAAACTATCTCCAAATACATTTATAAACTAGAGCGAGTAAAGAACAGTCCTTCCAGAACAAAGCTAGAGCTTAAACTACTAATTTGTTATGTGACTGTACGCAATACTACTGTACTCGCCTGGCGAGTTCGTCTTATCTCATAAGCAGTGCCGGCTAGCGAGTCCATAGAAAATGTAGGCGGTATCCGTACGTTACGTTCGGTAAATTTGTGGCGGTGGTGAATGTGTTATCGTACCATACCTTGTTCCTGTTACACATATAATCAAGAGTATTTAGAAAGAAGGAATCGATGTGATAGGAATATAGAAATTAATGAATTCCACTAAAACATTTTGTAATCGATAATAGTCTGTCTGCTGGCTCAAGTTGCCGTCCCCAAAAATCTCCCAAAACCTAGGCAATGTGACGCATCGACATATTGTGAAGCAGGGTACTATAAAGGATTATTATCACTTGATACAGAGATAAATGAAGACACGGCTTAAATGACAAGCATCCAAGCTAAAAATCTTAATATATATATTTCAGACGTGTAGATCATAGATTTAGAATATACTGGCGTAAGTATATTCTAAATTTATGCTGTACATCATACTCGGCATTCGGCTGAGCAGAAACTCCGACGAATCTTCTCTTCCAGTATTCTTCAAAACCCAAAATGGCGGTCACACGGTTTTGCCGTCGTAGGTAGACAGAATATTTTTAAAATGTTTTAGTAAAGTTACATACTATAACGTCCCACTATTGGGCACAGGCCTCCTCCCACTACTGAGGGGGCCTTAGAGCAAGGAAGTGTCCGCCGCGGTGCCCCAATGCGAGTTGGCGGACTTCACATGTCTTCGAAATATATATTTTTTTATTTCTCAGACATGCAGGTTGCTTCACGATGTTTTCCTTCGCCGCCGATCATGTAGTAAATCAGCCTAAAAGTTGCAATTAACAATTTCATCGGTACCGGCGGGGATCGAACCCGGGTTGCTCGCGTACTCTGAAACTTACAGCGAGCGCTAAGACCCTGACCTGCCCCTGCTCTTTGCGCAGAGGCAATATCGTAACCAATGAGTTAATCCGAGGTGCGATTATTTCTAGTTAAGAACCCTCTTACATTTCAGTGTTTAGCAAATTTAGGTATTTTACGCACCGAGCGGGCGGCGAGCTACGTGACCGATACTTTCTTTCATATCTATTCACTCGCTCGCACTATAATACTGTGGGTATGGTGATTAAACGATCTTGATCTTCTATAATATAAAGTTTTCTTAGGATGGACTTCAGTGGATGGAATATTTTTAGTGTGTCATTTTAATGTTATCTTATTAATTTATTATTATATAATTATATAATTTATTATTATATACCATTTTGATATATTATTCATTATTTATAAAATTTAGTGTCAAAATAAGTACACATAAATATTTTAATTGTTAGGCCGTAATCGAATGTTAATAATCGAATATTTCTACTACCGGTAGAATAGTGGTATAAATAAACGGTTGCAACCTGTTTTAATAAATATAACAACCAAATGTAACTAATATTTTTTTAATCGGTACTTAAAGTAAATTACCATATTTTTTATTAGAATAATATTTGCTGCGACGGCATTGACCGAACTTTTCTCGAGTCGATAATTTCAGGCAGTACACACTTTTCATAAAAAGCTTGTAACTTGGGTAACATACTGAAAATCTAAAATTGGTCGTCTTTGTAAATTTTTAGTACTTTTACTGCATAATCTGGGCCAATACATATTATGGCAAGTATTCAGACATTTTTATTTGCTAAATGAAGCTGGCCTTGGATTTGGTAAAACCAGTCATTATTTTGATTTAATGTTACACTTGAATCACTGAATTTATAACCTTTAACTTTTTTTTTGTCGAAAGGCCGTGTCAAAATTTATTCCGAAAGCTGAAATAGGACATTTAACTTCAATAAGACCGTCGCTGTATAAACCATTAGGTGAAGCCCTCAAATAACAATGATCTAGGTCAATGAATAGACCACATTTTTCTATAATAATATTTTCTTGTTTCAATCGTGCCAATGCTACAGCTAAGACTCGTTGTCCCTACCATGTTTAATGGAAGAGACGTGATCTAAATATAACTATATAAAATAGTTTTAAACCGATCGATCAAAAATTGCGGTCGTAGTTGACGATGCTCTAGCATGCAGGCAATCGACGCACACTACGGTAGTATCGAAACGATGCAGCGCCCGAAATCAACTGGCGCAGGTCTATCCTCGGCAAGCGCTCGCGCGTTAATGATAAAAAGATACTCTGTGCGTTAATGATCGCAGATGGCCGGCGCAGTGAAATATATATTACTTTTATTTAATTCATTAAAATATAATAGTAACGATTTAAAAAGTAAAAATAATAGTATAGTTTAAGCAAATGTTGATGATTATTTTGGTATAAATTTTACGTCTAAATGATGTAGAACTTCTGAAATATAGAGGCTTGTATCGAAGCTTTTTTGGTTGTTTTTTGAATTATGTCGATTTTTTTTCCTAGCGTGAAAAGCATATAACGAAAATGTATTCCATTATTATTAAAGTGTAGGATATTTGGGAGATAAAAATATATTTTTTTTTGATGGTCGATATTCAATAGAATCTACAAATTAGAGCTCCCAAATCATGTCTTCGAGAGTTTTTGCCTAAACATGCATCGGGAGAATGATTATTACTGATTAAATAAATAAGTTATCTAAAATCCGCTCTGAGCTTATTTGAGGAGAGAAAACGAACTATTTTTACCAAGTAATTGTTATTTCAAGCAACGAACGAAAAACATACAATTTCAACGAGGAAACCTTGTAATTTCGCGTTTTTTTGTAATACGCCTCTTAAAATGTTTCAAGTTTAGTTATTTCCTTTTCATCATTCCTTATGGTGCACTGCTGGACATGGACCTTTCTAAATTTAGGGTGGATTTATATTATTTCCTTACGCTTGGCAAGCGGATTAACGTCTTGCACCTTTGACGCTGCTGCCCGTGGCTATTCTACGTATTTTACGTCTGGCGTAAACGAGATGGTTATTATTAGAAGCTATGAGATTTTTCTGGCATTTACCATGGGCCTCTTCTGCTGCAGTATATTCCTGATAACAACTCAAAATACTAAAAACAGCGCTTACCAACCCGCCTGCCAAGCGATATTATAATATATAGATATTATGATATCGCTATATGGATACTATTTCGTTTTAGAGTCATGCTGCAGCTATATTAGTAGTACAGTTGTAGCACGAATGGGTCGGCTCGACCGGGGAAGGACCACGCTCTCACAGAATACCAGCGTTAAATAACAGCTTAACGCTGCTGTGTTTCGTATTGTAATTGTAAAAAACCAGAGACCCTTTTTACTGGAAAAGAGGCATTCCATCTTAGCCCTCACGGGTGACAACGCATCTGCATTTTGATTCTTTATTGAGGATAGATGTAGATGTCTATGGGTCGCAGCAGCCCTATCCTATAAAAAAAAAACCAAAAGTGCTACGGTACTTAATCGCAAAACGTGGACCACATAAACTCACTATCAATCAATATAATATAGTTACGGTAAGTGTCTGTTGCTAATTTTGTATGGCTAATGGCCATATGCATACAATGTTCAAACGCTACTCAATTTAATGATGTCGTTGAGTCTCGTGGTGTCACAGTCACTTTGACTTAAAATAATAGAGACAGCACGAGACTTAACGGCATCTTAAAATTGAACAGCGATTGAGTATTTGGGCATAAGTTTATATGCGTAGTACATGTCGTCCAATTTTGGATAATATAATGTTCGGACTGATTCGTTGATCTAGTGGACGTAAGCGCTACTGCTTATCTTTAAGTCCCAAGAAACTATGAGAGTGAGGGTATTGAATGTATACTTTGTCACCCGAGTATTAAGATAAAGTGCCTAATTCCAGTAAATATTATGCGTCACTCGCTATAAGCTATATGAAATACGGCAGCAGTATCTTGCAATTTTATTCATATAAGAATATTTAACCTGACGGACCTGCAGCACTAAATGATCGTACGAATGGTTATAGGCGGTTAAAAGAAATATTGTTAGTACATCGTGCCATGTGAACTACAAATGTACTTATTCTCTTAAATGTCAATTATATCACTTTACCACGCTCAGAGATATCTGCTTGCGACGATGTAGTGTTAACGGGTTGTTCACTTCTCTTTAGTATAGAAGAAGGCTGCCACAGCTTCATCCTTGCTCTCACGTGTAAATTTATTTATTTATTATTTATTGCTCCTTACGCATAATGCGTAAATATTGACACAAAAGGAGGTCTTAATACTTAAAAGTATTCTCGGCCAGTGAACCTTTATACAGTGATATAACGTCGAAGACGGTTACAGATAAAAGAAAATCTATTCATGTCTTGGATATCGGATTTCGGAGATATTATATCATTCCTCAATATAGGCAGGTTTGAGATTTGTCTTTGATGGTAGGAATAGTTTTCATGCCAGAGTTCATATTTTAAAAATATTCTAGATATGCTCAATGGGGTACAAATATTACAGAATTAATAACAAAATTAATATTAATTAAATAATACAAATTATAAATTGAATTCGCTTTGGTTTGTCCGCCAGCCGCTGTCAAAAAACATTTGCTTAAAAATCAATCGACGCAATAATTTGAAATTTAGCAAAGATAGAGTTTAATGAGCCAAATATAGATTTAAGTGTGCATGGTTGAATTTCTGAGATTAATTTAAAGGATATGGAAAATAAATTGAAAAGCCTTCATTTCCATGTTTGGTGATCATGTAGTTGCAATTGAAATGTTTTGAAGTTGCTATTTCAGACAACAAATATAGGATTGTTCAGATGAATCTGAAATAAATCAGAAACATTGAGAAGTGTATATTGAGAATTTAATTATTCAATGAGGCTGATGTACGTAGAACACTAAATGTTTAGATATAGCTGGCCTTCACTGATTTTTTATTTCTATTCGTTTGTCTTTTTACTTTGTTTTAAAATGGCTATGGTATTAGCCGTTAGGTAAAAGATATTTTCACAAGTACTACACATTTATTATGTTGTTCACAAAATATTAATCACTTTCATCCATTATATTATCTTCATTACATGTATTGCCGTCGTGCTTTTGAGTAGCATTTAAAATACTCAAAGCTTTTGCAGTACTTGAATACACCAAATTACGCTGAATCTTTTTCAATATTTTTATATCGTGAAAAGGATGACTATGCATATACTTTCTGCGAAAAAAAGAACATTTCCTTGATTAATAATTCATCTTCATAATTTTATTCTAACTTCTAAACATTTTTAAACTTCGATCTGAAAGTAACTCAGTCCTGCTAAAACTATTAAAACAAAGAACTCAAAAAGCCATAATTTGCCAGGGTACGTACATGTTCGCACAAATCTATACATGTTATACAAATTAGTAATACACCGAAATTTGTTTTACATTTTAGTAAACCCGAAATTCGGCAGCTTTATCGAACTTCGACGAATTTTGTTTCATTTACCAAACATTCGGTATATATCATGTTTAACTATAATAGTAACCTATAGCAATTGTGGCAACGTTAGACTGTACTACCCTTAATACAGATATATAAAATAAAACCAAATTTAATACCTATTATAACATAAATACCCCTGCCCTTTACTAACATCATCTTTCAATATAAATCAGATCAGAGAATCTGGTTAAATATATAACACTCCACATTGTAACAATATGTAAATACTTACAGTCTAACAGTCAGTCAGTAACAAATTTTACTAATGATTTATTATATTTACTAGTTAATAATACTTGTCGATTGTTTATAGACTGATCGTGAACTTTGTAAGACAATAACGCTTGGTGTTATGATAACTGATTTTTATCGTAATTATTTGAAAAAACTTGAAAAAGTTATTATTACCCGGTAAAGTCGGTCTGTGATAGAAGTAGTTACTAAACCTTTTTACCTATCCGTCAAATAACAGTGCATACACTGCTATTTTCTGGTTTAAAGGGATAATAATATAAGACAATTTTTTATTAGTTCGCATAGGTGTTAACGTACTCTTTTAAAGTTGGTTCCAGGTGAAGCTGTAGTAGCAACTTACCATCCGGTTAGTTAAAGGCTTTTTTATAACTTGATATACTTTTTTATGCTTTTTATAAAAACATTACCACACTAGAATTTTCGCCTGTATTGTGGGTGTAGTTTAACATACAATATTATATGAATTCTGTCTCCTCGGTGAAGATAGCATTAAAATTATTTAATTTAAATGCGACGCAACGAGGTGAAAGTAAACGTGAGCAATCTCAATGTATAGAAAACAAAAAACACTTTAGATTGCCATTTGAAGGGTAGCCGGTTTAAGTTCAAGGACTAAAGTAGCGTGGCGAATTGTAATCCCACTTCATTAACCCTTGCAAACCCAAGAGAAAGCCTGCGCCCCGTAGATGAAAGTTTACAGCTGTTACTACTCTCTACCTTTTAACGACGCTGTCACCATCCGTATCGACAAATGCAGGACAGTGCAAACGGCGATAATCGATACACCGCCATCGACGTTTCCGACCTCCGTGCGCCTTGTGATGAGTTAGATACATGTATCGATTCAGAATTATTTGTAGTGAACCTCTATTTGATACTGTAAACTGTAACGCTGTGGTATCTGAAACAATTTGAATAGACAAATCCATTACTTTACACTAGCTTCTGAACGCAGCTTTGCTCGCGTGGGAACAGAAATGGGTTAATTAATATATACATGGGCGCCGCCAGGATTACTTTCTGAGAGGTGCATCCATCTGCATCTTACACATTTTATACTATTACATAACTGATATAAAATATAGTTATACATGTATATATTATGTAGATAAATGTAACCCCCGATTTACACTATCACGCGAGCGGCGAGGCGAGACGCGAGGCGAGCCACTAGGTGCAAGTGTAAACGCTCGCCTCGCAGCTCGCTTCGCCACTCGCGGCGCTCGCGTCGGAGGCGGTTTTTTGGGCACGAGGCAAAGGGCCTCGCGTCCCTCGCGCTGGTGTTTACACTCGCGCTCTCGTTTCAATGTTTACGGCGCCCTTCTATAATAACATTCGAATTGCTTTTGTTTTAAAATTATAATTTTAATAAAATAATGTCATTTAATCTTGCACAATAGGTACCAGCAATTTATATAAAATTATGAAACTGAAAATTTTTTAATTTCCTTCTTTTTAAAATGGTCAAGCATCGATAAATACTTATTAAGGCAAGAGTTGATGCCGTTATTATTTCGACGTCTTTCATCGCTGCTGGCTCATGGCAAACTGACTTCTATATAAAAGTACTCTGTGCAAACTGACCGCAAACCGCATCGCGAGAGTGCAAACAGGCACTCGTTACCTCGCAACAACACGCGTGCTGCGAGGCGAGGTACAAGGCGAGGCGCGAGGCGAGAGTCTAAATGCGGTATAATGTCAAATTCAAATCGCGCGGGTATTTGATTGAATATATTTCGCTCATCGAAAACATACTTAATCTCTGTAGTCAATAGTCGGTATTATTGCTCGGAGAATCCCCGCAGCAAGCCTTCAGTTTTTCTATGTATTTTCTTTCATGATTGGGGGGTGCAATGTCCACCTTGCACCCTCCTGCCGGCGCCCATGTTTATAAGATTATGTGTATTTATGTGCCAAATTTCTTCCTAATTAGTTTAGCCCTTTATGCTTACTCAACATTCAAACACTCACAAATTTTATGGTTCATATTGACTCGAATAATCTCGGTAATAAATGATTCTGCGGGCAGATTAAAAACAATATTAATTTTGCGATGCAAGTCATAAGATCAATCTACTTGGGGCCTCGAGTCACTACGCGACCTTTTCGAGGACACTTATTTACTGACACTTTCGTTATTTAATTGTGAGAACATTACCTGTGTGTACAGAAAAAATACAAATTTATTTATTAAAAAATAAAAATAGAAAGTCTATTCTAAATAAATGCATAAAATTTTACTCTTAATATATAATGAAACAATCAGACATAAAATTTTACCAAGTCTTGACGCTGTAATATTGGGTAAAAACTTAACATTTTACGAAAAATATAACAGACATTTGACACTGTACTGATTTTATTGAGTTGTAAAAGAAATTATTGTAATATAGCATTTAAAAATCTAAGATCTCTTTTTTTGGCCTTGTTTTGCAAACCGGTGTAGCCTATTAGAGCCTAAATAATTAAGGATAATTTTGACTTTGAATCATGAAAATATAATACAATTTTATTACACCTATTATAATTAAACGAGTGATAAACGAGCTTATAGCCAAGATGGTAATTGGATACAACCTATGGACAATAGGCACTTGCAGCAAAATGTAAACAATAAAAATTAAGGTAAGGACTTTTAGACAAAGAAAGCCAATACTAATAAAATTTGAACTTGCATTGAAGATAAGCAAAAAAAAGAAATAGTTAAAATGTCTGAATACCGTAGTCATTTGCCTCTCCATCTTGCTTTTTAACACTATTTGCTGTACTTTGTTCAAATATGGAATTTCCTATATTCACATTTGGAATTTCATCAGATTCACACAAATTTTCTAAATATACAGGTGAATCTATAGCAGCCAGTTCGCCCCCATTCTGTGAGTTTAGTTTACAATCTGCAGAATTGATTATGATATTTTCTGTTACATTATCATTTCTGAAAAAGTTGGCAAGACATTAAATTTAAGAGCAAACTATCTAAATTATCTTTATACTCTAAAACATATATAAGCCTATTTTCAAATTTGGAATTTCATCAGATTCACACTTTTCTAGACATGCAGGTGAATCTATAGCAGGCTGTTCGCCCCTACTCTGCGAGTTTAATTTACAGTCTGCAGAATTTATTGTAATATTTTCTGTTACATTACCATTTCTGAAAAAGTTGGCAAGGCGGTCTGGTTTACAAGACGTAGTTTGGGCCTTACATGGAATACATTTCTCAACTCTGTGCCGGGTCACTCTAAAAACAGCTCCTTTCACTTGATCGCATTCTACGGAGAACGACTTGAATTGTTGATGACCGAGTTCTTACCGATCAACTGGATTCACTAGCCTTACGAAAAGATTTTTATATCAATTATCATCAGGTGAGCCTTATACTTGCATGCCATCTCTTCAATAAAAAAAAAATCACAAGAATTCCCGAATTGGAATTTTAGCGAACAAATCGCTATTTACAGAAAATAGGCTGAATTTTTTTGCCTCAACAACAAACCCGATGAATGATGGAAGACTAAAGTTAAGAATAACGAATTGAAAGCTACAGTTTAAGCGGAAGCGGAGTCTTCAACAATATTGACAAAATAAAAAAAATGGCGTCAAATTGGAGAAATAAGAGAGCTCGAAAAGTGGACAACGTATGTACTTTCTCGCAAAAACAATTCGGCAACCTCGCGTTGAAGCTTGCTTTAAGTTGTTTAAGCGCCTCGCAAATAATAATCTACAGAATCAGATTGTCACTTATGTCTAAGTTAACCCTGTATGAAAATGGGAAGCATTAGTCACAATGGTTGAAACTCATGGTAAGCAGCCAAACTATGACTCAAACGATTATTAGTAATTGTAGATCTGGGCCATCATTAATTCTTTCAACTTCTTGAGATACTGCAGTAGTATACTTTTAAGAATACAAATAATGATGAGCAAGGTCGCTAACAAACAATCAATACTTGTCAACCAAAAAACTGTAGAAATAATAATAATGTCCTCCAGACCGAATATCAGCCACGGCGGCCAGTCATAACGGAGACTAGCCATCTGAGCATTACATCATAGTGCACGAGTGTGTGCAAGCACAATGAGACGGCAATCCGACAAGATCGGTGAGAGATCAGGCGTAGACGCAGGATTTACGACTTTACGTGCTTTCCGAGGCACTAGGATGAAACGCCTCCAACTTCCTTACTCCGAGCTTTTACTGAGAATTTCTTTACAGAGAAACAAACATCAACGCATTTTGAAAAGTCTTACGTGAGATTTGGGTGAGGGTGTCGAGAAATATCTCACCAGGAGGTCAGAAAAATCGCCTCGCGTAATTAATGAATGCCCCCTTTTAAATAGCAGTCAGTGAAATATTTTAAACACCTATATAAATACATTTTCTATTTTATAGGTGAATACAGCAATGATGATGATGATGGTGACTACTCAGACCGGGGTGCAGAGATGAGAGGAATTGAAGTGCTAGATTACAATTAAAATCTTTTCTTTCATGGTTCTTTTGTATTTATTTGTATATAAATATTATTTAAAAAATATCTGTTTTGCTTACTCTACCTAACTGGTTTGAATTGAAGGCTATGACGTCACAATATGGTGCCATTTCAGTCCTATTCTTATTTATATCGCATGCTTTTTTGTACAGCACTTTTGGATGAGTTTTCTGCCATTAGTCGGTCGTCAAACGAGATTCACATTTAAATTTACTAATGGCAGAAATTCTCTACTACAACCGAGTAATATACAGTGAAATAGCTTTTATAATTTTTATTCCAAAAAAATCAACCGAACGGGTATCCATATACAGGGTTATTTTGCAATATACTCCCAAATTTGCAGAGATGGTTCAGAATAAGTAGTATAGACGAGTAGCGAAGAAAAATAATTTAAAAAATCTCAAAAATTCTGTCCGTAACTTAAATAACAGTAAAATCCTTATTTACTCATATTTTCAAAAACTGCAGAACGGTATATCATTATTTATATAATATTCGAACTTAAATATACAATTTGGATACTCTATGAAAAATAACCCTGTATACTATGTAAGAACAATTTACTCTGACATAAAGTAAGCGTAATTAATACCTCCCTGGTGTAATCATATGTAGTCACTGTTTCTTTTGGTTTATTAATAGTTGAATCTTCAGATAAAAACATCTGAAATTTTAAAAAAAAACTGTATAAAATGAACTAAAGGTAAGGTGTATTATCACTTGTCACCTCTGGGAATTAAATGCCTCACAATCTGTAATTATTAATATAATGGCTCCATACAGATATAAGTAGCAACATTGAGGTATGAATAGACAACAAAAGTACATACATAAACACTCACGCCTGTCACCCAGAGGGGTAGGCAGAGACTACGGACTTCCATTTGGCGCGATCCTGACACACCTCTCTCGCCTCTTTTACATCCATATATCTACGCATACACGCTCGTCGGTTAAGGGTACTCCTAATCTGGCCCATTTTTAATGTATCGCCGATTTGGTCGATAACCCTTCGTCTAGGGCGTCCCTTCCCGACCCTGCCGTTCAAAAGTTGTAGTATTAAATTAAAAAAAGTAAACAACTAATCCCAAACTAGTTAATGCACAGTAAAACAATTTATTTTGAGGCATCCGCATTTATTTTGGCGACCGCGTGGTTTAGCGGTCAGAGAACCTGAACGCGATTATCAGGCTGTCATTGTGTTAGTGTGTTCGTGGTTCCTATTTATTTACAAAATAATACCTTAATCCGTTGAGATTCCTCCATTCTAGTTTTGTGTCGGTTCTTAATATAGGTTATGGTGTTTTTGGTATACTAACTAGTAAGTACTTTTGTGCACTTCTCACGAAATGGATGATGATAATTCACTCTGATAGTAACGCTGGCCGCTTCATGGTTCATATTGTTAGAACTGAATAATCAAACCCTGGAGC